TCCACATCCACCACTGCCACGGAAATGGGACAGAGACCTAGATTTTGACTCTCTTTTTTGGAAAGGAAAACAGATCAAGACGCACAAAGGTCCAAGTGGCCTCTATTGTCCAGGAACACAAGGCCAGGTGTTGGGGACAGGAGTTGGACCAGGAGGAGTGGCTGGAGCGGAAGAGAGGAGGAGGACTTGGAGCTGGGCGGCCCAGAGGGCAGAATCTGCACTGCCACAGACGCAGTTCCCAGGAGTCTGAGCCCCGTGAAGTCCAGCAGTGAGTTTAGGATAAATAATCTGCCCACAGGCAGAGGCAGGAGGATGAGCAGATTCTAGAGGCCTTCCCCAAGGGACGACTCTCCTGGGGGACTGTCTGGAGGACCAGCCGGGGAGCCAGCCGAACTTCCAGACATTGTGGGGAACCATCTTATTGATTCTGCCCAAAGCAGGGAGTAAGCAGTGCAGGCTGTAAAGAGGTGACTCTGCAGTTGGCTCATTTTAAGAAGCAAATCTGATTAAAGCTTATGTGACTCACAGAAGCACCGCATAAGCACCATGGTAGCACGTAAGTTAGCATGAGCCTCCCGCTAATGCCACAGCAGAGACCAGAGTAATGGCCCATGAAGCTCTGGGGCTCAAGATGAGATAACACAGGAGGAGAGGCTGGAGTAGCTTCCACCCAAAGTCCACTCCCACGACTAAAACCTTCTAACCTACAAGGACAAGGTTCTAATTGCAACGCTGTATTTTGTCTGTCCTGTTCCTAATTTGAGAATGCTTTGTCTTTTCCTTTACAAGCTTTGCCTGCATAGTATCCATAGCAACTGTGGAGCTGCACATCCTCATGCATAGCTCCCCTTTACCCCAATCTGATTACCAATAAAATCAGTGGGTTGGACTAACCGGAGCCTTTGCGGGTTGCTCAGCCTTGGCCATCTTGGCTCCCCACTCTGCTTTAATTCTGTCTTTGAGTCTTTCTTCAACCTGCATCGTACGCTGGGCAGGAGACTGCAATCTACTGCCGGGGTCTCCAGTAAGATGCAGTACTGACCAATAAACGTATAACAAAAACCTCGGGTGTGCTTTGACATTTTCTGTAACATTAGAAGTGGAAAAAGGTGCCAGGCATCGTGGCACACACCTGTAATCTCAGTACTCAGGAGGCTGAGGCTGGAGGATCACTGTGAGTTCGAGGCCAATCTGGGATACATAGTGAGTTCAAGACCAGCCTGAACTACATAGCAAGACCCTGTCTCAAAAACAAACAGTCTAAAAAAGGTGAAAATGATTTGCATACAATATCCAAATATATATAACAATAAATCTATGTATTTATGAAGATATTTACTATTTTAGAATCTTACCATTTTGACTTGTAATTAATATGAAAACTGTCAGTGAAGCATTTTGAATGTTTTCCATTCAAACTCTGATGTTTATTTTATGGTCACAGCATATCTCTACGTGGTTGCTAAATTTTCATTTAAAAATATTTAGATTTCAAAATTTCCAGCTGAAAAAAAGGTAGATTCACCTACCCAAGCTGTTGTAAATACACTCATGTTTGCCAATAACTGAATTGAGTATCAGCTTTTTAAATTAATTAAAATCAAATAACACTAAGAGCTGAGTTCCTCAGTGGCACTAGTGGCATTCCCAGCACTCTTGGCCTGGCATGATTAGCGCTGCTGTGATGACCTCCAGCTGTGGGGATAGCAGGAGCCCTTGCTGCACACTGCTCCCGGCGGGACCTCGGCAGGACAGAGGCAGGGACAAAGTCTCGTCCATGTCCTAAGTGTAGCAACCCAGCCCTGTGCTCTCCTGGGAGCTCTGCCTTCTCGGCCCAGGCCACGACAGGTTCCAATCTCTGGGTCTGAGAAAGCTCTTTCACCTGCTTGCTCTTCGCTGGAGACCCCAGAAAGCAGGGGACGCAGCTGTGTAACTTACGGCTCCAGGTGGGTCACACAGGGCTGCCTCAGCTCCTCCACATGGAATAGTATGGCTAGTTCTAGAAGGACTTTCCGGTTTTTAAAGCTCACTGCAGAGATGGAAGTCCTACATTTTTCTTAGAGATTTTAGCTACTGTTTAAATCAGAAAAAAATCAAAGATCCAATGGCTCTGAGGAATGACTCGAATGCACTGTTGGTTCTCAGTAGTCTTTCTGTACCAGGAGTTGAACTCAGGACCTTGTGCTTGTCAGGCAGGCATGGCACCACTGAACTACATCCTCGGCCCCTCTCAGTAAATTCTTACTGGTAAGCTCATTGTTACTTCTAACTAATCAGTCTCCAACAATGGCTTTCTAAACTTGGGAAAATCAGATGATTTGGGGGGTTAGAGTTGTTTTACATTGTGAACATTATAATTAGGGGGAAACACAGCCCACTGGCTTGTAAATTGGTGAGCTGAAGCATATGTATGTATTTCTAGAGGATCTACTTGTCTTTAGAATTTCACATCCGTGCAAGATTGTAAAATAATCACAAAGCATTTTAGGGCTGGGATGCAGCTCAGTGGCGCCGTCTGGGAAGTGCAAGGTCCTGAGTTTGATTCCTGGTTCCCCAAAACAAAAAAAACAAAAACACAAAAACCCCCCAAAACTAAGCATTTGTTTTAAAAGTTTTCTTTAAAAAAATATTTTTTAAAGTAAAGAAAGGCACCTTTAAAAAATAATTTTTTAAAGAAAAGAAACTTCCATAAAGATTGCCACAAGGTGGCACTAAAATCTAGTGAAAATTTCAATTTCTGGTCTTTGAGGAGTGAGGAGTGATTCACAGGAAACAGGGCAAAAAGCAAAAAACAAAGAACAATCAGGTTGACAACTGCGAACAGATTTATTTCCTCTCTTTTATTTGAAGGATATTTTCTCTCCCTGATGTGACTGTGTTCTCTGCCATACAGTGAATCTGTGTGTTAATACAATGAATTATTAAGACGAACTGGAGAACTGAATTCTATCCCTGCCTTGCAGGAAAAGTGCACCATGGAGCTTTGTTTGAAACTTTAATTTTAGAAGCTTAAGGGTGCAGCCAAGATTCTTAAGCTATATCAAGACCAAGGAAGCAGTTTTAACAATACAGTCATAACAAGTTTCAACTAAAGGAAGAAAAATAGGTGTCGATCAGATTTTTCTAGGAGGCAAACTGAAAAAAAAAGTTCCAGATTGAAGCCTAGACCAATGACCCAAAGAAAACTATCTGGCTGCTGACAGATCTTTTCCTTTGGTCTGAGAAAAAGAAACAAGACAAGCAGCGGGGCCTCCTGGGGAGGCAGCCCGGGGCCTCTGGGTTTGGGGCTCCCTCTAGGACAGCTCCACAGGCAGCCACACCAGGGCCTCCCTGACCACACAAAGGCCTCTAAATTAACTTACTAATTTACCCGAGGCCAGGCATGGCTGGGTGCATGGGTCTGGTGGGTGAGAGAGTTAAAGCAGAACCTGGAGTTGTGGAAAGAAGCCCCTGGAAAGCACCAAGTGAGTGCTGAGCATTTGGGTTAGCTCTGCAGACACTGACTGTGAGACAGGGTCTTGCTATGTTTCCCAGGCGGACCTCAAATTCCTGGGCTCAAGAGATCCTCCTGGCTCAGCCTCCCCAGCCTGGGGCTACAAGTAAGGGCCAACACACCTGACTAACGATTTCTTGCAAAGGCTAGGAGGTATTGTGCTAGGTCTTCAAGATGCTGAGAGGAGACAAAATTCTGCCTCTCCTGCAGCAACTCCCAGTCTAGAAAGGGACACGGAGATAGGAGGCAGTAACCACGTGACGCGTGGGTCTCTCTTCGAAATATCCCATTTCTTCTACCCCGCAGGGAGCTCCCTGCAGTTGGCGCTCTAATGCCCTTCCTGGGCCCAGCCTGAGTTTCAGCAGCCCCACCGAGCCATTCCCTGTTCACGCCGTGGGCCCCACTCTCCATCTTTCCGCTTTGTTCCTCCTTCTGGGGAGGGGAGCCCCCCCTTCCCACTCCTACTCATCCTTG